GGATAACAGTTGTATGAGCCCCTAATAATATGTTAAAAAAAAATACAATTCCTCATGTTGTGGTGACCCCGCATGTGGACATATCTGCATGTGGGTGGACCCGCCTAAAGATGGATATAGTGGTGGTGTCTCAGTTCCTAAGACCATCAGAAATGTGGTCTTAGGCGACCCCTGTGAAAGGGTCACTTGACCCCCCAAAGAGATTGTGACCCCCAGGTTGAGAACCGCGCTCTAACTCAAAGGATGCATTGCAACAGGATCCACCAACCTCAAGTTCAAGCAATGTCATGCCAGCAGCGTGGCTAAGGAGGCCTTGAAGGAGCCTCAAGTTCAAGATCCATGGGTCGGCTTGACCCACAGGTAGTGCAGCACCTGGTTGAGGCCAAGAACTAGCTCCAGCAGCAGCATGCTGGTCTCATCGCCAGGGAGGAAGAGAAAGATGGGATGGCAACCGTGGAAAGTATTTGCTTTGGTTGCCCTCCAATCAAGCTTCAATCTGATTAAGCTCCACTCACATATTCCTATGGAGGCCTAGTTGGCACAATAAACCTAACTAGCACAGGTAAGTTATGTAATTCTGTGTCAACTTGAAGATATAAATGTGTAGGCGTAGAGTCCAGCCTTTCAATCAGATCACAGCCTGATGGTGCCTCCTTTGTCTCTCTCTCTCTGTGTCACCTTCCTGCTGGCGAGTCATGCTGAGAGCTGCCAGAGCCCTGTGAGGCTTCCACCGTCCTTGGATCCACAAGATTTTTCACCCACGGGCCTGTGATTTTCCTGCATTTTGCAACCTTGCATGTGGCTGCGGGAGTCTAAAGAGGGATTTATGAACTCTTATTGGACTTAGAGACTTGAACTGGACTGGGCCGGGATGTTTTCTCCATATACAATTACTTCTTGATAAAAAGCTCTGTCTTACACATATAAGAATTTCTCTAGCCAACTTGACCTAACACACCAAAGCTCATTTTCTTATCATTAAAGTGTAATATCTATAGTGTAATATCTAATTCTACCTCCTCGGTGTGTATGATAATTAAATGCAAAGTCCCATTACCACCACCACCCCCCAAAAAATAACATACAGGCGAAAATACAAATAATGAGTAAGAAAGAAAAGACCACCGTTAATATTTTAAAAGCCAGGGAAAATTTCTTTTGGTCATGGAACAAGCAAGAAATACTTGCACCTAGAACAAAATCAGGTTGGGTGCAAAGGGAGGTCAACTGACCAAGTATCAAGTTCAATCAAGCATTAGCAAGAGTAGAACAATCTCTATCTGATAGGAAGGCTGTTCGAGACTCTTGCCCATGGGAGCTAGAGGGCATCTGCCAGCGGCTTCACTTCATCTGACTAGATACTCCCACGGTCCTCCGTAGCCTTCTACAAATTGGATGTTCATAATTGAAGCTCTGATACTTTTCCCTTTGCCATATTTGATTTTTTTAATTGTCATCCTTGGATCACACAAGCTGGTGTGCTTCTTCCATGTGGACTTAGTTGACTTCTTGCTTAGACGGCTGCTTGTTTGAATGCAAGCCTAGAAGATCCCAGACACTCTTCTGCTTGATAGCCGGGCACCCTCTGCTCTCTTCACCACCCTTTGTTGTAGCACCCTTATCTTCAGTCATCATTTCAAGAAGGTGAGTATTGAGCAGGACCATGTTATCAGCACTATCTGTCCCTGGATTGGGGCGAGAGTTAAGTGGGAGTCCAGAATCCATCCGCTTGTTCATGGGATATGTATGACTCAGGTTTCTTTGGTGGTCATAGGATGACAAAATCAAAACCCTGTATGACCAACAATAGCAACCAGCAAACAAACAAGCTAAAGGGAGGGAAACTGAAACCCATGGAAACAAGGAAGTACAGCCTGTCAGTCACCCTCCTGGGTTCTAAGGAGATGGCACTGATAACATCATCCGTTTCCCATGGCACAGCACTCTGGGACTGTCGGCCTGAGTTGTCTGCGTGGAGACAGCGCTACCTTGAGTGCAGCCCATATGTTGTTGCCCCACACAGCTCGACTCCCACTCGACTGAACTCTCTTTACCCCAAGTGTGGGGACTGGTGCCAGGGGAAACTTCTGGATCCATCCTTCCTTTTTTTAAATCATTTGATTGGGGGCTCATACAGCTCTTATCACAACCCATACATTCATCCATTGTGTCAAGCACATGTACATATGTTGTCATCATTTTCAAAACATTTTCTTTCTACTTGAGTCTTTGGTATCAGCTCATTTTTTTCCCTCTCCTTCCCTCACCCCCCCTCATGAACCGTTGATAATCTATAAATTATGATTGTTTTCATGTCTTACACTGACATATGTCTCCCTTCACCCACTTCTTTGTTTGTCCATCCCCCTGGGAGGGGGTTATATATGGATCATTGTAATCGGTTCCCCCTTTCTCTCCCCGCCTTCCCCTTATCCTCCTGGTATCCCTACTCTCATTATTGGTCCTGAGGGGTTTACCTGTCCTGGATTCCCTGTGTTTCCAGCCTTATCCGTACCAGTGTACATGCTGTGGTCTAGCCAGATTTGTAAGGAAGAATTTGGGTCATGATAGTGGGGTAGGGGGAGTAAGCATTAAAGAACTAGAGGAAAGTTGTATGTTTCATCGGTGCTATACTGCACCCTGACTGGCTTGTCTCTTCCTTGTGACTCTTCTGTAAGGGGATGTCCAATTGTCTACAGATGGGCCTTGGGTCTCTACTTCACATGCCCCCTCATTCACATTGATAGGATTTTTCACTCTAGGTCTTTGATGCCTGATACCTTGTGGTTTGAAGGAGGTGGCAGCTCCCCCCCCTCCCACTAACCACGGGTTTGATAGGCACAATTGTACGGTCGAGATATATAATTATTATATTAAAGTCATTGAGAGCATGAGACATAGAAGAGAAATAATGGTGACAGACACATTTCATGGTAGCATGCTCACCTCAGCCCCGCTTGGTGGTCCACGTGGAGAGAGGGGGAAGGGAAGGAGGACAAGGGGAAAGGGAAGAGAGAGAAGAGGGGGAGCCTACAAGAGGTCAAGGGAGGAGCTGAGAGAGAGATCTCTATTGCTAACCCAGGCCTATATACCTTTGGGGGCGTGCAAGCCCACTAATTACAGGTAAAGACATTCGTCACAGGAAGGGGTTGTGCTACAGGTAAGATAGTAACAGAAGGGGGAGGGATTG